TGTGCGCCATGGGGTGCACCGGTGACCTCAGCTATGTATTTGACTGTAACTATGTAACCCATGTACAGAATTGAATAAAACTTATTTTCTATACGTATCGTAACATAATAAACAAATTACGACCAAAAGTATTTTTACGATTTTTATTTTTTTCTATCGGCGTTTAACGTGTTAAACAAAAATCGATTAAAAGAAATAAACATAAAATAAGATAGATCAAAATCAATATCAAATAAGCTTAAATACACACACCTTCAATAGTTTCGAACACATTCTAAAATATTATAATTATGAATAAATGCACGTATTTGAAAGAAATATTCTAAACTTATGACGGGGAGCGTAAATATAATATTTATAATAAATATTTTTTTAGGTCTTAGTTTCAAAAGGTTATTACGGTTGAGAGATCGAAGGCCTGTTTAATGAACCACCACGTTGCCCACCACCCCGTTGCCCACGCCCACCACGGGTTCGCACTCTTCCACCTCTACGGGTTCTTCGACCGCCACCAACTTCGTCGTTGTTATTACTTTTCCATGCAAAACAAAGCCAACATAAAGCAACGTACAAAATAAACACTTGAAATTTTTAAAACATCTTGAAAACATTTGAAATATTGTTTTTTTCCACTAAAATATCACGAAAACTATTATTTCGCAAAAAAAAATTATATGTAAATAAACCCACCATCCCTATTATAAAGCTATAAAATATTTAAAAATCAAATAACTAAAAGAAAAAAGTAAATCATTGAATTTTTTTATGCGAAGTTCTAAAGTCTTATCCATATTTAGATCAACTGACAGCCATTTTGTGATACAAAACGCCTATCTGTTAAAAGTACTACGGTAGGATTTTGTACGCTCACATTATGTTTGAGGTCAAAATTTTAGCATTTGCGTCTAACATGCACGCATTTTGTAGTAATCTGATTGAAGTTCATTAAATAATGATTTGATTACACATATTCGTTGCGGTTTTGATAATGTTTCTATCATAATATGACAAAGCAAAATCCATTTACTAGTTCGTAAAATGACATGGCCAGTGCTTCAAAGTTTGTTTTTGACTTAAAATGTTAATAATATGCCAATGTTAGTAAATAAACATAAACATTACTTACTTTTCCATCATAAATCGCTCGAAATCACTAGATTTGATTACAAAATAGCACACACAATGCACTTCAAGCGCGGCAATCTTCGAGTGACATAGGTCACAGATTAAAACAAAAATTCTCAACGGTTTTGTACTACAGTCGTGTTTTAATGCACGTTAGAAGGAAGTCCCGTTCATTCTTATACGATTTTTAATAAGTTCGAAAGAGTAAAACTATATTACTCGTTCCAATATGCATGTAACCGAACATCTGTTTCGCGCGTGTGCCGAGTCCTATGGTAGGACGCGCCACAGAAACGCAATTTTTATAAAAGTCCTACCATAGGACTTGCACGAGGTTATGTATTTTTGAACATCATTAAACATGCCGTTCCAACTATAATGTTGTTTTAATTTCTTAATGGTTTTATGAATCCCAAGATGACCAGAATTAATATCATCATGGTTTGACCTAATAGTATAAAGAATGTGTTCCTTAGGAATAACAATTTTCCTATTTAATCTACTATCCAGATTGAATTTATTCTTACAAAATTTATATAGTGCGTGGTCATCCACTCTGAAATTTTTATATCTAGAAGGAAACTTTTGACAATTAACAATTACTTTTCTATCCCAAGGGTCAACAATATCGTCATCGGGTGAGACAACTTGTATAGCGGAAACCAAAATTGTAGATGTCTCAATACGAGATAAAGCATCTGGGACTAAGTGTAAGGAACTTTTTTTGTGAACAATATGAAATGTAAATTGAGAAATTCTAGCAGCCCATCTTGCTAAACGTCCGCTAGGATTATTTAATTTTAGGAGCCATTTTAAACAAGCGTGATCAGTGATAACGGTAAATTCCATTCCTTCAATATAAGGCCTAAAGTGTTCTATTGAATCTAAAATTGCTAGTAATTCACGTTCCGTGGTACTATAATTTCGTTCACATTTATTAAGGGATCTAGAGTAAAACGCGACGGGATGCTGCTCTCCATCCTCGTCCTCCTGACTCAAAACACTACCAATCCCAACGGAACTAGCATCACAATGTAAAAAGAAAGGTTTAAAAAAATCGGGGCAACGTAATACAGGGGAGGTTATTAAGGCTTCTTTAAGATTTTGAAAAGCATTTTCAGCGTCATTATTTCAAATAAGAGGTTTTTTTAGAATTTTTACTACCAGCTGTCAATCTTGTTAGTGGCGAAGCAATGTCAGCAAATTTACAAATGAATCTACGATAATAAGAACACAACCCAAGGAAACTTCTGAGCTGCTTAACTGTTTCAGGACGCGGGAAATTTTCAATAGTTTCTAATTTAGACGGATCAGTGTGTAAACCTTTACTATCCACAATGTATCCAAGTTATCTGAGCCTGTCTTTACAGAACTCACATTTCTTTAAAGTAACAGTAATCTTTAAGTATCTTATAAATTTTGTTTAAGTAATCTATATGGTCTTCAAAATTATTATTTACTAAAATCAAATCATCTAAGTAACAAAAAAGTACGTTATCAAATTCAGGACCAAAAAGTTTATCTACTAATCTCTGCAGTTCTGCAGGAGCGTTAGTTAATCCGAAAGGCATTCTAACGAACTGTAATAACCCTTTACCCGGTACTACAAAGGCAGTTTTCGCGCGAGAAGATTTCTCAAGTGCAATCTGAAGAAAAGCTTTAGAAAGATCTATTGTTGTAATATAACGGGCGCGTCTGAGGCTATCCAATATTCGGGAAGGATAAGGAAGGGGATACGAATCTCTAATTGTAATTGAATTTAAGCGTCGTGAATCTAAACATAATCTAGTACTACCGTCTTTCTTTTCCACGGCTAAAACAGGAGAACACCAAGGGGGACTTATAGGGTTCAATAATACCTTCCCTAAGCAGAGCTTCGACTTCGACGAAAAGTTCCTTCTGCTTGGCAGGACTCAAAGGCCAATATCTCTGCTTAAAAGGTTCACCAGTAACATTAATTTTATGTTCAACCAGATGAGTGAGACCTAACCCTTTCTTTTCATACGAAATGTCTTCAAAAAGCGAAACTGTTTCATCAAGCTTTCATTTCTCAGAAGGAATAAGTTCGGCGGCGCAAGTTACCGTACAAGTTTGAATTTAATCGTTACTAACAAAGGTCATATTTTTCCACAAGTCTTTAGCCAGGTCAAACTTAAGCCAAAAATCAAATCCTAAAATGATTGGAATGTTAAATGAAGGTATAATAATGAATTTAATATTTTTAGTCAAATTATCACAAGTAACTGGCAAATTAATAACTTCAATAAACTTTGATGCGGAGCCATCCGCTGTGTAAGCAGAATTAGAAATGTAGTCAGGCACATGTTCAATTTTTAAACCCAATTTAAGAAACTGTTGGTGACTATTAGAACCAAGAATACAACTATTTGAACCACTATCTAATAAACCCGAAAATTTATCCCCTCTAATTGATAATTCTAAATAAGGTCAAGAATCATTATTTTTAACAAATAAAACAGGCGCAGCCCTATAAGTGTTAAAGAAAGTTTTTAAATAGTCTAACCCGGCCAAAAATTCCCTTCTGCAAGTGGCTTTGTCAGGCCCTTTAAGTGTGACTAACAATTTTTTTCATCATCGAGACATCTCTAGTTTTCTTAGAAACCGGAGCTCGATGGAACCTAATCAGTTTTTTGACTCATTTGAGTTCCTCTTGGCCAAATTGCACACATCACAAAACTTTGTGATAACCCCCAATTTCTGACACTTGAAGCAAATCATACCAGGAATAGAAGAACAGTTCTTATAAGTATGACCAGTTGACTTACACTTTAAACACACAACGCTAGTATTGTCTGACGTGACAGCGTTGGACCTTTTCAAATTTAAGAGGTTTGGATGAATCTTTAAGAGATTTCCGATTAAAAAAAACTTCTAACTCCTTTCCCAAACTTATGAAGTCCTCAAGCGAAGACCGACAAGGTGCTTCACGACGACCAAAAAATGCTTTAGTTTTGCAAACTGTGACTGCAAGATTTTCACCATTTTTGTAGTGAATTTTAATAACTTCAATGCGTTGTTGAAGTGTGTATCGTTCCATTTTTAGTAATGGCGTAGTTTCTACTTGTAAAATGTCAAAAAATAAAAGCTTCAAAAGTGACGGCTACCGAAATGACACCTCATAAAATAACACCTCTTGTTGGACAACCCTTTACATTTCTATAGGATAATGGCTACATGTACATAAAACTACGTCTTTTACATCACATCTGTCCGTATACTTTACATCCGTTGACATTGGTAAACCAGACGCCAACAACTTCCATTGTTCAAATTGATTGTCCGTCAACTTGCACTCGTCCATTAAACACGCGTTTGTATTTAACAGCCCACTAAAGTTGAAGCTGCTGTTTGAAATTAAACCGGTCAGTCTACAAAAGTTGAAATGACACTCTACCGGACTGTTCATAATCATTGTTTTACCGGTGGAAGGCGGGCCCAAGAAAAACAGGTTATTTTTCTTTTCGCTTAGTCTTGTGAAATTTTCCAAATCGATCTTGTTAATGTTTAAAATTTCTTTAAATTTCAACTTTATTTCTTCTTGTGATGTGTCATTCAAGGGACCGTGTTCCGTTTCAAACTTATTTTTTGCCCGCTCAAATCGCTGTCTTACCGATTCCGAAAATACCAAAACTCTTGCGACGTGGAGGTAGGTCCTGATTTTTTCTGCATATTGTTTGGAACAATGATTTTGCAAATAATCCCATAGCCTCTGCTTCTGTAATAGCACCGTTTTGGCATAAAAGTACAATAATATTTGCGTTTCGGTTATGGTACGTGCTATTTGTACCTGTGTCTGCGTTTGAATCGTCTTGTTCGCCATCCAAAACTTTCCTTGTTTTGCTTGGAATTTGATATCAGGGTCTTCCTTCTTGATCGTCATCGGTTTGAAGAGTTGTATCCACCATTCCATCGACCCCTTCTTCAGATGACACGCCTTCTGGTCGAAATACTGTATCTCCTCCTTGGAGACAATCAGCCTCGTATTGCGCAATTTTCCATTGATTTTTCCCTCCCATTCCACAATGATGTTCGGCGCACTGACAAGATTTAATATGTTCCGGTAATGGTATGGTTTCCCTTTGATTAATGTACCGTTTGTGGGTCATTAATACTCTGTCTCGGATTTGCACCTTGCAATTATTATCTGTGGTAATTAGGAAGACTCCTTTGTTGCGTTGGTATTGCACATCGTTGTTGCATATAGTTTTTACGACTTCATCCTGTTTCATTATTACAATCCAACTGTTTTCTTTAATTTGTTGCACTATGTTGTTGTCGTAACTTGCAGTTGCATACGTGCAGTTATGTGGTTCTTGATGCTGTAGTAGTTGTGCGATGCAATCGGTTGAATGTAGTAGTGGCTGCCATTCCAGGTGCTTGCATATAACGTTGTCTTCCGCTATCTCGGTGCATGGCTCGTGAGGATATGCAAACTCATCATTTCCCAAGATTAGGATAGGGTTTTTAGGTATAAGGATGGTGTCATTATTGTTAGGAATCGAATAAAGGTGGAGTAAATTATATGATTGTTCTGCAACTATTGGAATGTCTAGTATAAAGGTTAAAGTCCCATTAGTGCTGAAGGCTTTAACTATAATTGCTTTTTCCCAAAAGTGAATAGAGTTTAAATTAGAGTCGAAGGGAAGTTTTCCATTTATTTCGTTTTGGATAATGTTTAATTCTTCTATTAAGAATATAGGGTCTACTACTGGGATGCATTTTACTAAGGTAAGAAAACGTTAGCGCGTTTTCCAGGGTTTCCAAACTATCGTATAGCTGTTGACACGATATCTGTATTTCATTAAAGATGCTTGCTGTCAAGTAATTCGTTTCTATGTCCGTTTTTTGTTTAGAGTATCTAAACTGGACAGCAAATAATTCGAGCCACCCGCTACCTAGGCACTCTAATTCGATTTTCTCAAAAACTAAAAAACCTACAATTAACAAAGTTGTACCTACAGAAAGTGCGTTTCATGGTGATTAAAATGAAAGGAAACTCATTGGGTTTAATCAATATTTCAGTGTTTATTAAGGATTTTACAAAGAAGAGTCGTTTTCCAGTCGTGACAATCGTTAGTAATGCATAAAAAAAAAAAATTAAAGCCAAAAACAAAGATAAAATCAAAAAAATGTTTTTGATCAATATTCCGTATTCCCTCCCCTTGCTCGGATAACTGCCAGCATCCTTGTATTCATCGACCTTACGAGCCTGACGATAAAATCTTGAGGAATTGTATTCCACTCCTCTTCAATTGCGATTCGCAGCTCTGGAAGCCTTGTTGGAGCAGGTACCCGGGCTCGAACCCGACGTTTCAGCTCATCCCATAAGTGTTCTATCGGATTCAAGTCCGGGCTTCAAGCTGGCCATTGTAATGTTGACTAAAAAAATGTTTCAGTTTTAATATTCATTTTTACTCGATCGACTTAGAAAGTAGTAATGCACTGATCATTCGTTCATTATCTTATATGAATGAAACACGTCTGTGCGCGTTTCGGCGGCCGCTGCGCACCGCTGACGCTAACAGCAGCTGATAAAAGTATACCTATAGGCGCGAGCTAGCGAGTACTTACGTAGATAGACTCCACTTTGTCCTTAATACTTTACACGGGCTTAGGACCGTCGGAAATACCTATTTTATTTAAACTTCTTTTCGATTATTAACCACGATTGTTCTTTACACAACAAATCAATTTATCAACGGACTGTAGGTATAAATATTTCAGGCGTATTTAAAAAATCGAAGCTATCTACAGAATAATTAACTTACCTATTTACAGTTTATTTACACTATTTACACTTCTGTGTATCGAAGCAACTGCTCAAAATGGAGTCCGCTGCGTTCAATACACAAACGTCCACGTTTAATGCAATTGTTTTTTAATTTTCTTAATGTGTCTCTATCATTTTTCACTTTGTCAAAAGCGTCCACTATCGAAATGCGTAAATCATCACGTCTTTCATATTCTCGTGTATAAACAAGTCTTTTTATTTCCGACCATAAGAAAAAATCCAGGGGCGTTAAGTCCGGGCTTCTAGGTGGCCAAGGCACAGGCCCTCCTCGACCTATCCACCGATCACTAAACTCATTGTCCAGGTACGCACGTACTACACTCCCGTAATGAGCGGGACAGCCGTCGTGTTGGTAGTACATACCTCTCGAGTAAGCTAACGGCACATCGTCTACTAACTCAGATACATATTACTGTCCTAAACATCTCTAAGTACGAGTTGCCGGTTAGACAATAAAAATAGGCCTTATTAATTGGTCATTAATACAAGGTGGGCCAAAAGAAGTCATCCGATATTGTTTGGCTCTCATTTTTTTTCTGAATAAAAAACTTAAATTCTGTTTTTTGATTATGTTTATTTGAACCTTTAGAATTTTATTGGTCAAGTCGAAAATATGATATCGGCCAAATGGGCGCTGCCACAATTGATTGCTATACGGGCTCGTTTTATGGTATTTTTCATCACTTCGGCGAGAACTTCGGGCGACAGATTCTCGCACTCGTGTCTAATGGTGTCCTTGAGCGCTTCCAGGGTCTCGGGCTTGTTCACGTAAACACGGGACTTCAAAAAACCCCACAAAAAAAAGTCTGGAACGATTAAATCGGGCGATCTTGCGAGCCAGTGCAAATCGCCAAAACGAGAGATGAGGGCGACCCAGGAACGCCGCCTTCAGAATATCGGTTGTGGCTCTCGCAGTGTGTGCCGTTGCTCCGTCCTGTTCGAACCAAATGTCCTCCAGTCCTAATTCGTTTAATTGCGGAAGAAAAAACTCGGTTAACATGGCCCTATAGCGCTCATCGTCCACTGTTGTCGTTTGACCAGCGGCGTCCTCGAAAAAAAATGGCCCGATGACTCCTCCAGCGTGAACAGCGCACCATGCAGTCACTTTGAGCGGGTGTAATGGCTCCGCGTGCATCACACGTGGATTTTCGGTGCCCCAGAAGCGATAGTCTTGCTTGTTCTTTTTACCGGTAGAACAGAGATATTGGTGCTAATTCTGTTGTTGACATCACTAAACTAAAAATTCTCTAAAATTCTCTTATTTTAGTCAAGCGATTTTCAAAATGCTATTCTGTTGTTAGGTCGAACTAAATTTGGTGTTCATTTTGACAACATTAAATTTGAATCTGACATCACTAAAAATTAAAATGGAAATGTCACATTTGTTTAAAAATTAGGAATGAATGATATAGAGAAAGATTAAGAGTGAATTCATAAATCTTTTGAAACGATATTTTTAGAATTTTAGACTGCCTGTAAATGATTATTAATGCATCTTATAGATCAAATAGTAAACAAGATGTTGTATTTCACAGTTATAACGAAGTAAATACAGTTTTACTTAGTTCACATAACTGGCAACCCGTGGTAAACCTGTAGGTATAAATATTTCAGGCGTATTTAAAAAATCGGAGCTATCTACAGAATAATTAACTTACATACCTATTTACAGTTTATTTACACTATTTACACTTCTGTGTATCGAAGCAACTGCTCAAAATGGAGTCCGCTGCGTTCAATACACAAACGTCCACGTTTAATGCAATTGTTTTTTAATTTTCTTAATGTGTCTCTACAAGTCTTTTTATTTCCGACCATAAGAAAAAATCCAGGGGCGTTAAGTCCGGGCTTCTAGGTGTTTTTCAGCCGCTCCGGCTCGTCCGATGCCTGCGATTTGTTACAGCGGGCGGAGGCTGCTCTCCCTACGCGCCCCCGGTTCTATAAAAACACTCTAGGGGTAGGACAGAGTCGTACCACGTGGAGTCAGGGTCAATCAATTCGGTTATGTGACATAAGTTGAACCTAACCTAATTTATTTATCTGCCCTAACAGGTACTGTTAAAATAAAACAAATTAAATAATAATTAAAAATTTATTAATCTATTTTATACACATATTGTATAACTTTAATTAGCTCTTCGAAGACATCTTTATGTGCTATTTTAATTTTTCTCCGCCAAGAGTATTCAATGAGCCAGTCTAAGAAGTTACCTTTATGACCATCCTCAGAGAACATCATTTTTAAATTTCGCCAGTACAGTACAGTTGCAGCACTGCGGTTCACTACTCGCGGCGAAGTCTGCGCATTTCTCGCGCAGATGCGGTCCTCCACAATGGCTGCATTTGTCCACACTCTCGGTGCAAAATTTCCTTCAATATCCGTACGCAGGGCACTTCGTACACTGTATGAGCGGAGACTGGTCCTCAACCCTGACCCTTTGCAGATCAAGATAGAGGGCCCCAGCCTCCGTCATCCTTCTCCACACATTTGGTGCGACCTGCAGAATGACATGTGTCACCTTGGGGTTTTTGGTGCGTCTTCTAAATTTGATTGACACTTCCATGTCCTGTTTCGGAAGGCCCAGGAAGATCTCCTTGTTCTGGGCATGGATCGCCCTTACTAGGTCCTCGTCCTTATCATCTGCGTACACGTCTTTGAGTACGACGAGGGGGTTCTTATTTTTCATGGGCCTTACCGACAATCCGGTCCCATGTCTCTCTATTTTTTCTTGTACCCTTTTCATGTCCTCTGCAGTGTCATAACCCAGTATAGTATCACTGTTTGGTTTTTGGCCTTGCGTACTTTGTTAATCTTCAGGCCACTGCCTCTAGCGTCGACTGCCCTCTTCACCCTTTCAAGGACCTCGTCCGTGGTCTCCTCTCCGCCCTCAAGGGTGACCGCCAACGAATGGAGTGCGGGGCGGTGGGCGGGTTTGGTTGCTGCGGCGCTGGCGTAGGTTTTGAGGACTGGTACTGGAGCTTGATTAGCACTCGTCAGTCCTTTTACGACCTTGACGTATTCATGCTTTGCTGCTGCGACCTCCCCGGCAATAGCGCCGACAAGATCCCTGAGGAGAGCGTGGGTCCGACCCTCGACAATATTAGCCTTTTGGTCTATTCCCTCTCTGGCCTTCTCGATCCTGTCGCCGATCCTCCCGAGCAAGTCGGAGTCTCGGTCTGCGGCACTCACGTCAAGTCCCTGCAGGTCGGTTTGGATGGTGCGTTCCATCTCACCGATCCGCTCGGTCAGCGCCGCCTCCATCTCTCCCAGTCTCTTTAGGACGCCCTCATGCCCATCGGACGACACAGTCCTTGAGGGCGCCCCTGCTGCTTTGTCTTCGGTATTTCTTTGACCTTCACCTTCGAGTTTTTGTAATCGATTGCTGAGCTTGAAGACCATTTTTTGACCTAGATTCGCGTTGTCCTCCAGATACTTCTTTATGTCCCTCCTCATTTGAGGATACTGCAGGGTATTTGAGGGTATATCCTCGAACGTCTTCATCAGTCCCGTGAGGAGCTGATCACTCATTATTCCTGCGTAGTTTTGTTGTCGCTTTATGTAGTTCTCTATATTATCGAGCTATCTTCGTTTGGTATCTGGCCTTTTTATGAAGGTTTTTGCAGCGTCCTGTATTGCTGCGGTTGCGGTGGTAGGGCTGGGAGTCCGGGAATCGAACCGATTACGGATGAAGCCTACAAATAAAATATTTCAATTATATTAAGAAAGGGAGTGAAGCTACTTCGTCATGTATTTGCTAGTGAGGTGGAGAAGCAGTACCCCAAGAACAAAGGGCTATCTCCGGAACGGCTCCACCTAGAGTTGCTCCAGTGACAGCAACGAGTGGGTCCCGCTGCGGGGCAGCCTCTCGACACCTCGACTGTTCAATTTGGACCACCGGGGCCGAAGTCTACACACTTAGTGATTTGGTCCAGTTTCGGTCTACGCAATTCGAAACCAGAATCGACCCCTCCCAAAAATTGGTGTAGGGCCGATTTTCTGGTCTCAAAAGTGTAGACTTAGCCTAAAAATGCTGTTCCAGCCAATCACACCTCCCTAGGTCCCCACTTTCCGGAGTTATAGGCCCCCAAAGTTTTTGTTTTTAACTTCCGGTACGATTTTTTAAAACAAAAGTTTGTTTACTTTTTTGAGGTGCTGATAACTTTTTTTTCCGATTTTAGCGGGAGAGGTGTCAAAAGTTGCAAGAATTCTTGCCCTATCTTGCACACACCATGCTATTGTTTGGCGCGGGGGTGGTTTTCACCCCCAAAAAACACTTTGACTAAAAGTATAAAAAGCACTGTTTGTTTTCAAAAGTTATTCTAGGATAGCTCCTCAACCACTCATCTTATTCCCGTTCTGAAAACGGTTCCCGGCTCGGCTAGGTGTCCCGCACACCGCTGAGTACCGCGGATTATCCCACGGGACCGGGATCAGGGATCTCCTGGCCACGCGGTTTTGGAAGAAGTCCCGTATCTTCCCCGATATTCGTCCTGGAATGTTGAAAGGGGGCTCAAAAGATGGGCCTCCCCGAGCCGCACCCTCCTACTGCGGAAACACAGGTCACCACTGAAAAACTCGAGAAAATCGAGTTTTTGTCACTGACACAAAACATAAAAATCACTGAAATCCTTATAAAATCCAAAATTTTCGTCCTATCGCGACGCGGTTTTCACTGACGTGAAGGCCTCGCGATGGCACAGCGCACGATATAAAACAGTGTATACTTTTAACAACTTTTACCACCTTTTCGATTTTTGAGTGCGGAGCGTCTCAGAATCGTGGCGCTCGGTGTCACGGTTCGCACGGGACTCTTGCTGTGGGGGTTGTGAGTTGGATGAGTGGACGTCGCCTGGGGGTGGTACTGAAAATTGACATTGTGAGTTGGACGATTGAGGGTTACCTGGGGATGGTTGTGAGTTTGATGAATGGACTTCACCTGGGGTTTGCACAAGATGCACAAGATAAATAACACAGGAGAATCATCGATTGCTCATGATGTCAAACGAGTGAGGTCAGCTTTTGTAAAATGCTTCAACTGCGGCAAAACTGGTCACAAGCGAGCGGATTGTAGAAACAAGACGAACGACGTTAGAGGACGAGCTACAATGCCGAGGCCAGTAGTTAGCATCAAAGCCTTTGGTCTGCTTTAAATGTGGAAAACCAGGCCATATTGCGGTCCAGTGTCCAAGTGGCGGCCAGGCCGGCGACGGCAACCGAGTCGAACGACGCGTTGATGTCTGCGTCTTGCAACCACCGTCGGGCACGTTACAACATAAAGGTGACCGTTAAACACTAAAAGCTCTGAATTCGAAACGTACTTACAAATATGCCCACGATAGGCTAAGGAAAATGCCAGCAAGTCACGTACCAGTCGAGATTGATGCAGAATCTGATAAGAACGAATTGTAACCCAAAGTGGTGGTGGAAACTCGAGTAAGGGGACTCTAGAGGCCATAGTAAGTTCGACCGTACCAGTAGTTATTTCGTAGTCGTAGCCGGTAGAAATCGGTGTCCCTTGAGGCAACTCAAGTAGTCCGTGGGTGCGCGGTGTGCGTTTAACTCTGGCAGAGGTCGGGGTCTGCAGAGACCATACGTGTGGTCAGTGGGTGACACACGGGTGATCCATTCGATGGATCTGATCCATGAGCTGGATGATTTTGTGAGAGCAATGCGATTGCTGTACGGCTGGAGAGCCGGGGCGTTAGATGTCTTACTCGAGTGTTTCTGTAAGCTTTAACCGAGTAGTTTTGAAACTTGATACGAACGACTGTGGTACGTGGCTCTGACCGTTGTCTAGTTATTTTTGTATCCTCTATTGCTTGTTTTAGTTTTAATGTGTTTACTAAGGCCATAAAATGTAAAAGTGTGGTAAGGTATGACCGAGCATGACAAGTATTCTCGTGGATGTTTTGTTGCAGATTAACCGGCACACGAGGACGTGTGCAAAACAGGATTTCCGTGTCCCAATTACGTCATATCCGAAACGCCAGCGCCACCTGTCGACGCTTGACGGAGTCAATGTTTAAAGGCCGAACGGCTCACATGAACACTTGTTGTGTGGCAGTTAGGGATTTTCCGATACCACCTAAGTATCGATACTTACTCATTTCGATAATACTCAAATCTTTTTTCGATACTACACAAATAAGTACTCCTCAAGTATCGATACTTACTGATATCGATACTTTTTGGAACTTTTATTTTATTATTTTGAGGGTGCTATCAATGAACGTTGAAGGATAATAATTTAAACAAAATTGAGACGAAAAAAACTATTTATTTATTATAAATGTTTATTAGGCTTATTATAATTTAAACAAAAAACTTTTCAGCATTAAGATTGCCCAAAAACAGTAACTGTTCAAGGTATTTAGAAGACAATCTGTTTCTTGTTTGTGTCATTGTTGCACCGGCTTTGGAAAAAAGGCACTCGCTAGGAACTGATGTTGCAACAACAATTAAATATTGCTGTGCATACTTGTACAGACAAGGAAACGCCAACTTCATGTCATCCCATTCTGCAAATGGGTTGCTTTTAAGAGAAACTACTGGATTTGATAAATAAAGAGAAACTTCATCTCCCTGATGAGATTTTTTTTCTTCTTGTGCCCATGTGCTAACTCTTTATGATGTTTCCAAAAATCGTATTCAGGTGGTGCAGTAGATGAGACATCATCTTCTGACTCACTTGGGCTACTTAGTTGTCCGACAACCATGGTTCTAAGTTTTTGAATAGCTCTTCCGCATGCAGAGGGGTCTTGGAAATGCAGATTTTTAAACCTTGGGTCTAGAATTGTTGCAATGGCTGCATGATCGTTTAATTCAATCATCCCATACCTCCTTTTCAGCTCTCTCAATAAAACATCCTTACATTCTTTAACGATAGCGGAGTTTGGAGTGATACTATTCAGTTCTGTAGTTAAGCAATTAAGCATTGGTATAATTTTGGAGATTGTTACATACTTTTGGCCCGATGATTCTCTTGTTACATATTCAAAAGGCTTTAATACAGTTGTAAGCTCATTCAAGGTTTCCATTTCCACTGCACTTGGCAAATTTGGAGCCACTACACTCTCAATTACAATTTCTGATATTACTATTCTTAACTTTAGAAATCGCTCTAACATAAAAAAAGTTGAGTTCCACCTAGTTCTTACATCTGCAATAAGTTTTAAAACTGATCCTGCCGAAACATTATTACGCATTTGGATTTTTCGTAGCTTATCCGACTGCACAACACTATTTTTTATCCAATTAACAATTTCTCGTACTTTTATAACAGCTGATTTAACACTGGGCAACTTTAGTGCCTCTTCAACTACAAGGTTAATAGTATGGGCAAAACACGGTAAATGTTTTTTTTCGCCTAAAGACATTCGTATGGCAGCCAACATTGAACTGGCATTATCTGATACAGCAGCACGAATTTTTGGTAAGTGGAATATTCCATTTTTTCAAAATATCCAGCAGGTTTTCCGATATGTATTCAGCTGTATGTCGCTCTCTTAATGCACGAGTTGCAAGATAATACATACACATTTGACCATTTTCTACAAAATGTATGGTGACGCCCATGAATCCTACTTCATTCATTGTCTCTGTCCATATGTCCAGCGTTAAACAGAAATTGTCTATCTTGGATAATTTGGACTTACAAATAGTTATACAAGCTTCGTACTTTTCGGTAGTCATTTTCTTTAAATACTTTGCGCCAGGAACTTTAAAAGTAGGCTCCAGTTCTTTTACAAGTCGTAAAAAGCCTTCACCTTCAACTATATTAAATGGACGCATATCTTGACAGATAAAAAATATCAATGCTTGAACAATTCTGTTATACTTCGTACCACCAGCTAAAAATAAAACTCAATTTTAATACATGTAATATTAAATTAAATATTTATATTTTTTTCTTTAACACTAATACTATATGTATTAATATTATTTTGCTAATATTTAATTAAATATCTATTTATTTACCTTTATTAGATGAAATTCGTTCAAACGCATTCTTTATTAAATTGCTCAGACATAGCTCCCTTGCAGTCTCCGAGTCCATACTTGTTAATGTGGTTACACTAGAGCAATCATCACGATCTTCTGAAATTTTCGATGTTGATGCTTGGGGTTGATCATCTTCCATTAAATGCCTTGAGTTGGCCAACACTATTGTATTTTTTGAACTGAAACATAATAACAAAAATTAACACTTGATAGATCGATAATCTTCAAAGTATCGATAATACCAACTCCAACACTACCGCCATTTAACAACACTATTACACTAACAAAAACAAACACATAACCTTAAATTGTTTAAATCGTATTTATACAAAGGAAATATCTCATCACCGGTCATCAATTATTATTCATATATTATTAATATATAGACAAGACAATCACAGTACCACTGCTGCAAAACTATTTTTTATACAAATAAAATAGGTAGGAGTAGGTAGGATTTTTTATTTAACATCTTAGGAAAGCAATCGCAAAAAAAAAGAAAAGTTTAGAATCCTACCTTTCGTTGGACTTATTATTTTCTTTTTTCTGTAATTTGCCTTTGTCCACAGAAATTCCATGAGTTTTAGAATGCTTGAATAAATTCGACGTATTCCCACAATACTTCACAGACTTAAAACACTGTTTACATTTTGCAATTGTTTCGTTTGTTTTGGTAAAATGTGTCCATATTATAGATTTTGGTGGTGCCATGATAACATTGGAATAAACCGATGAATTTGATGATTACAATTAATAAAATTACTTGTAAGCAATCACTTAACACTTTCACAATGGCGGAATGGCGAGATGATTTGCGAGCGGGTGCGGGTGTTTTCTTCTCTCGCTTTCGGCTCGGGCGGGCTCGGCTGAAGTCGGACGAATTCGGCTAGCCCAGCGCGAGACAACGCGTCACTCACGCCGCCACGCGACGAATACCGGTAACTCGGTAACCTGATTAGCTGACTGTTTTTGCCTCGTTTTTGCTCTCTTAGTTCTGTATGATGCGTTCTCGGTTTTTTTTATTGTATTCGGTTGTTTTGCTGATTCGATTCGATACCAAGTATTTTTGTTTCGATACCGATTATGTATCGCAAAATTGATTCGATACAATAAATACTTGGTATCGAATCAAAAGTATCGAGTACCTACTCGTATTTATTAGTATCGGAATATCCCTAGTCGTTTTTTTAGGGCGATGTCGTCCAGGAATTCGGAGATGTATATCCTAGTTCCTTGTAAACACTGTCTATTAGCTGTAATAAATTTTGCAATCCTTTTGCTTAATAGCTCTATAACTAGGGGCCGGTGGTTGTTGGTATTTTTCCCAATTCTGTGTAAATCCTCTATATAGCCTAATATATTAATTTGCATAGTCTTTTCGAAAAAGTCAATTATTCTGGCGTGTAAGTTGTATTCAGACTCGTCGTAATATTCGGGAAAGCCATACAATACTAATTTCTTAGCGTTGGTTTCTTCGGTGTATGGCGTTTTGGGATAAAGACATGTGGTTGTTAGATCCTTTAATTCAGTTTGTAACTTTTCATTCTCGAGTTTCAGTTTACTTATCTCTAAACTAATTTGTTTTATATCGTGTTTCGTTTGTTCGTATTGGTTTGATAAAGCGTTTGTTTTTTGTTCTACTTCGTCTTTTAATTGTGTAATGGCTTTTTTTATTTCGGTCTGTATTGTGTTTTGTAGCTCTGTTATTAGTAGTATGTTGTTTTCCCTTAGGCGTTCTATTATAAGTTCATTTAAGTTTTTCAATATTACTTCGGTTTGTAGATTTGTTGGTGAAGCCGTCTCTCTATTCTCTGTATTTAATGTGTCGCCTAGCATATTTAAGTCGTCTGAGCTTACGCTATCATTATTCGTCTTTGTAGACCTTTTTCTAATGGTGACATTATTGTTTTCAGTAGTCTCAATACAAGTGCTTGTTTGGTGCAAAGTTTCGTGATCTTGTAGGCGAATAGGTGTACTAGTATTGTCTATTTTGGGCATTTTTGCAGCGACAAGTTTGACATTTCCATGTCTTTTTTTTGTTCCATAGTCATTGTTTTATTAAAACGGTCTTTGGAAACATTAGCACATTCCAAATCATAGGTATTCTTACATAATATACATAGCAAATTTTCTCTGTACTGGACTTTTTGTTTACACCCAGGACATATCAAAGGTGCCATGGCGCCCTCTGTTATTTTATTTTTTCCCTTGGTGAGTAATGTGGTAAGTAGCCTGCGTTAGGTTGTCGTGGTTCGTTATCTTATAGTGACCAGTGGCCTCTGTTTGTTATGTCTGGAATTAATTGCTCCAGCTGGTACGGGTCAATTTTTTATAGTTTTACCTTAGTGATGTCGTAAACCTGTGATAGATGGCGTAAGTTTGGTTTTGTATTGACGGAATGATCTTTGCACTTTTGTTGTTTTAATTACAATATGTTTTGTACTTTTTAATACACTAATACACTGTTGTCGATGTAAGTTTCAACAATCTGTGTTCAAAATCACTTAGGGGTTGGAGTTTCTATTTCGAAGACACTTTTCACAGAATGTTCGTTAGAGATGTAATTTTGAAAATTACTCGGATTTACAGTATTTTAACTGTTTCCTTCATATTGTTCCGATAAACTATGACTTTATTATTAGATTTAAACACTTTTCACCACTTGTAAAATGATTTTAGTATTTTTTTATTTCACTTTTGTACGGACTCGAGGTAAAAGGTGGCACAGAAGCGCCCTCTCTCTTTTTTTTTTTTTTTTTTTTTTTTTTTATAATAATTGATTATCAAAACTTATATAATAATAATTTGTATATGGATTGATTATTCTCTTAATAATATGGCACTAATCACCTTAATTTAAATTATATACTCTAGGAACATTTTAAGTGTATTGGTCAAATTATATCTCCTTTACTTTCATCTACACTATACACTTTGTTCATATTTACATAAATGGATCATCTAGTTTAATCCACTGGTTCTGTTGATTGGGCAAACTTTTAGAAATAGTACCTAACATCTTAACTCTGAGTTCTTTGGTAGCATTGGTGTAATTTGGAATAAAATCTGGATTCTTCTTCAGATAAATAATCAGTAAATTCAAGTCCTTATTTAGTACTTTCTCAATTGGTTTTGGTTTGTTGAGTGCCTTTATAAGCTCCCCAAGTAGTTGTCCCTCATTACTGGATCCAACAAAACCAATACTTTGATCATCTGAAAAGTTCAATGTGCCCATGGTTGATCTGTATGGGGATCCTGAAACAAGAATAAGACTTGCGCCGACTATAGGATCTGGAGAATATCCAGAATCAGTGGAAGGAGGTCCTCTGGTGGACTTCAGGGACGAAGTAAGATGATTCAATACAAGCAGCTTTTTATCAACTTCACTCATGTAATTGGTCATGCTACTCGCTGTGTTATTCCATGATCGTGATATATGGTCCAGTGATTGCTTGAATGCATCATACTGAGCCATTGAATTGGCTGCCACCGTTACTAAGTCCGTGGCAGTAGTTGCAATATCAGACAAGGCTGCTCGAGCATTTCGAGCTATTGCAGCCGAGTAAGAAATAACTGCCATTTTAACTGAGGCATGTAGGGTTCGGTAACTATCTGTCATATCTACCAGGATCCCGTCCATGATTATTGATAGATCATCCCCTGTTATTTGTATCAAGTTTCGATACTTCGATAAAAGACTTCGTCGAGTGTCATGCACTACATCACATAGATCCTCTAGGACATCAATAATCTTTTGGTCCAACGGGTCCTCAATTTGGGACCAATAATTTTTGAGGAGAGCTAATAGTTCATGTTCTCTCTGCTTGGAGAAATCACACCCTGAAGATGTAGATGGAATAGCTGCTATTGGGGATTGACCAGTTAAGACATCAGAAGTCTCTGCCAGATCAGAAGGTGTTACCCCCAAATCTGATAGATCTATCTTGGATGTTCCCGGACATGGTGGGCAGGTTTTCTTGTTTGGCATTGTTATTACAGGAAAATAACAGCAAAACCCTTGTCGGAGAATGATGATACTGTTCTAAATCACAGATTTCTCTAGAGATTGTAGATTGATTGGAATTGTTAAGTATTGTTTTAATCCAGGGCGGGAGGCAGCTAATGAATACAAGATGTTAAGTTCTAGAGGCCGTTTATTATCCCGTAGTGTCTGTAGAGTACAATGTGTCTTATGTCTCTAATTACAATAGGTAATTCTTATACACAAATTAGTACTGTCATTAATGCAATCCTTTCCAATAAAAATATAAGGTTAAATAAGTTTTAAGAGTCACATGAAGACCCAATAAGAAAAGAGTCTAAGGGTTGTTGTAGCAACGCCCTACTGCCTTAATTAAAATTAACCCCCTTGGGGACCTGTATAGGTTTTTTAAACAAAGTCGCATAAAGACTTAATAGACAAAACAATATACTCTAAGGGTAGACATAGCATTGACCTACTCTCTAATAAAAATAACACCCCTTGGGGACCTGCAGTATTCAATGCCACGTCGCCAAGAAAAATATAACAAAGCACATACCGATGACCTTGGATCAGTCCGAATGAAATGAAATCAAACCAACTCCGAGAACTTCTCACTCCGGTTCCCACGTGGTGGAAGAGGCGGGTTAGCACTCCCAGGCTCCAGACAATGGCGTACAGCTAAGCAGCTTTTTCTACCATTCCGGTGCTCCACAGCAAACTAATTTCTTGGGGTTAGGCCGGCGTAGAGACAAAAACATTCCAATTAGAAAGTAAAGAAATTTAGGTATTGTAAAGACTTTAGATATAAACTAAAAAAACCCTGATTCATCTAGAAGTGTATTCATTCATTCAGAAGTGTCTAAAACAATTAAAAATATATATTACATACACAAAAAAAATAACGTACCTGGAATCGTGGGTTAAATATGCAAAACATAAGCTAAACTAAAACTCTTTGTCCTGATTAATTTATCTTTGTATTTTTATCGGTTTTCTGTCTAAAATGACTAAGATAAATAGATAACATTAATGTTATTATTTGAATCTTTGCTACATAAAATAATTTTACATGCTATGGGATAACTTCCCATATAACTTCACAAAGAGCATGGATGATACTCACAATCTGACATTAATAACTGTAGAATGCTTTTCTATTATAGAATAGATTTCTAGGTGCAGTAGGGTGATTTATTGATAGCTTTGTTATTGCAATATGTGTCCCATCTACTGTACCTATAGTGTTAGGCATATTAAACAATTCTTGAAATCTGAAAAGGAGAACACTATAAGCATTTCAAGATCTTACTATACCTAAGTTGTAGAAATTGATGATTATCACCAAAAAATAATATATAGGTGTAAACTTACTTTGTTATTGCAATCAGTTTTAGACTCTCAGTCATGGGAAATTTTATGATATTTGGTAAAAGCTTTTCCACTACTAAACCTAGATTTATAAACTATATTTACTGTTACAATGTTCATAAACACATGTCTGTGATACACCTTATTTTAATTTATTTAATATTAAGTATCCTTTCACTCAACTCAAGCGAAAGGACCTCTCCAAAGTAAGACTATTGTAGCTAAATAATTTCTGCTATCAGTAGCACAATGACTATAACCACGACCCAAAAAGCAGAATACATCTGAGTCACGGACCAGGCAGGAATCATCAGAGTGTGGCTGACTACACTTTTAGCGGCGGGGCTGAGGCATACATTGTTTAGCAAGGTAGCCATACCGACAACAATTCCTGCATTGAATAGTAGGTAATTGATAAAGAAACACAGGCAGAGATGCATTAAAGCAGATTTTTTTTCAGAAAGGCTCTGTCCCAAAAATGTGAGAACTACAGAGTTAGATGGGACCCAAACGGAGTGCATCGGCCGCTTGGCGATACATAGATAAGGTGGGCTGACTAAAGGGAAAGAATAGGGTATGGAATATATATTTGAGGTCCTAGTATAAGATGTGAATCGTGGATGTACTTACTGGTGCTGCGCTGCGGGTGACGCTGCTGGATTGTTGTTGGAGGTAAAGGCTTGTTGAAACCGCGTGGTCACTAATTGTCTGGTAACTTATTTCACTGAGTTTATTTTCACTCACGGGCCACTGTTTATAGTTTGTAACGGGACACACACAACTTGACTTAATTAGTTTGTTGCCGGCACGAATTTAAAGTCTAGTATTACGCTATGTTGATCACGCGTTAGGGAGAAAGTTGCAGCTATTCCATTGACATATAACAGTATTACGACTGTCACTCTTGACAGCCGGTTACGTTCAGGAACTGCGTCGCGTCCCATCGTCAGAGGTTCCCTCTTTTTTATTACATTGAAACGCCGAAACACCTCTCCACAATTTTGTGGGATAGAAGATTCCAGAAATGAGCTCCTCCAGAGTCCAGTCAGTTGGAATATCCCTACCAACACCCATACGAATAATTTGAAAACATGGAATATTTGCTAAATAATTATTTTCACTTACGATGGAGGAATTCAGGTAATTTATTAGCAGATAAAGCTGAGGTGAATTCCACACCGACGTTATTGCGACCCATATTTCTACAATGTTCGGTATTCTATGTTTAAATAGAAACTGGGCGAATTTAAGGGCTTTAAGGGACAGCCCGGATGATGGCCCTTGTCTGACGCTGTGTATTCAAGCCTAGAATCCGACTCAACTTCGGTTTAGAGTAAACTGATTGGATGGATTCAGCTGGTGAGTCAACTTTCTTTACATCAAAGTCAACAGAAAAGACTGAGTCTGACTGTCGCTTTCCTGTTTTTGGTTTGTCAGGGGGTAATACACCGCCCTCATCAGGGGGGTCATCCGCGCTCATTTCCGAAGAAATAAGCGTGGTTGGCTACTTACACTAACATAACTAAAAACGCTTCTTTAAAAACAATAGACGTTGATAATTCTGATGGAGTTTCTAATCCCTAATTGCGTCAAAATATGCTGATTTTTGTCCGCCATGTTATAAATTTTTCCTAGTATTATTATTAATATGTCTTTATCTGTTGCTTTTATTAAAATGTTTGTGTGTTTTATACTTTTATTGTTTTAATATGCATTACAATCTTTGTGTCTGCTTCTATTTGATTGGTGTTATTTTTGGAGACTTTCCGTACGTCTATTAATCTTTGTGCGATATTGTACTCAACAGCGATAGAGTCGCTATCTTGCTCTACTGACGCGGAAAATTATACATCTATCGATATAGGTATTCTGAGATGATTCTGTTGCTGTGTACTAGTCTCTTTCAAAAACTCATTAACTCTGTATTCTCGCATTAGCGCGCACAGCTGTTCGAAATCAATGATCACGACGTTTTCCTCTCTAGCTGACGCGTAAATGTGTGGCGTAGTTGGCGGCTGCTAGTGCGCGAAGCTGATCCACCAAGCCAACATTTAACTGCCGATGTAGATATATCCCATCCGCAACGTAATTCATTCGGGAACATTAGATCTGACGTGAGATTCTGTATTCTTACTAAGCGGAGTCTTAGAGTCAGCGGTGGCGACGGATAGTTCACTCACACGCCCAAGTACTTTGGCATCTTGAAAGGACCTCGCATAACTCTCCTAGAGGACCCTCTTTTGGTTTACATAGTTTAATAATATCAGGTACTCAGGTACTCGAAACCGCGCGAGGTATCTACGAGCAACATGCATCTTCAATACCATCTCAGATAGATCAAGCGCTAAAGCGCACTCTATTTCCAATGTTTTGGAGCGTGTGGAGTTAGAAGCGCGCATTCCTCCTCTGGCGAGACTTTTCGCTAAATATAGAATGGTGCGTCCTTTTATAACGGGACATATCGCAGTATCGATATTGTCCCGTTCCGCATTTTCCATCAACTGCTCTGTAGGTCTAAGACCATTACGAGTCATGCCTTTTAAATTTGGTCGTTTGAAAAAAAAACACAACTAGAACCTTATAGTATTTTTTATTGTTTTTCAAAGTATGCACCACGTAGCTTAATACACTTTTCCTTTCGCTCAAACAGTTACTACCACAAACGCCTGCTTTGAGCTACAGACAGTTGATCTGTATAGTCAGACACTGGGCCATCAAGCAATTCCAAAAACCTGATAGCAGTCAAATTTTCATTAATGAAAATTGGACCAATTATCTGATTGACGTGAATTGCTGCCCATATGTACATTCAACGAAAAACGGTACTGGTGAGAAGATTCGCGTATAGCATGAGGATTTTCCCTGGCCCAATATCGCAAGTTTTGGCGATTCCATATACCATTACGTGTGAAGTTACTCTCGTCAGTCCACATGATGTTGGATAGGAATTCAGGGTCATTCGTTACCTTTGACAGTAACCACTGACAGTACACTCTTATGGGTTGATCTCTGTTTAATAAAGCCGGTACTTTTCGAAATCTGAAAGGCCGTCGTTTATGAGCCTCTAAAATATCGTGGACTTTTTTGTGGTGAACACTGAATTGACGAGCAGCCCTACTTAAACTGCATGTAGGGTTACGGTGTTCGCGAAGCTAACTCGACATCACGTGGCACCAAACTTTTTTTGTCTCGTAATCTTTGTACCGCCCTTATAAAAATACGGCTATCTGTTGGACATACACGAGTGCTTCCATATCTCTCACGGTATGTCCGTAAAGCTGAAAAAGCGTTTTGATGGCATTCCCCGTAAATTAGGACCATGTCAGTATACTCCGGGGCTGTAAAGGTCACTCGCGGCATTATGAATGCTATCATATTTAGCGCTGTTCTATTAAACCTACCTCCTGTATCGTTTGACAAACCGTCGAGCTGAGTGAGTGATAACAAACTAGTGGGTGCCCGCCAACACTGCATTTCCATTCTCTGGGATGGGTGGAACAGGATTCCATGAAACTGCAAGCACTGGACGCTTCTGACTCACTAGAAATCGAGAATAGCTCTCCACATGCATTGATGTGCAAAGATATTCCTCCATTATGGTCTTGACACATCTTATTGTTTGTGTTTATGCAAAT